CACCAACTGAGTCAGATGGGCACAGTCTGCGTGCTTCTGCTGATGTAAATTGTTTTATACTTGTTGGCATAAATAATGCATCAGCAAACTCAGACAATGTGTAAAACTTGGCATGTCTGCAACATGGATAGGCCAGAAAGGTCTGACATGGCAGGATCCACAGGTATTGATGGACAAGCCCAGAATTACTTTTAGAATGTTCTGCAGACCAACAAGATCAACAACAGGCAAACACAATTTATAGGTTTTTTTAAACAGGATAGCTGGAAGAGGAGGAAGCTCAACCTACCAAAGACACAGATAATTAGCTACACAAGGAAGGAGGATCCAATTTTTTTGCCTATTCTTAGCTCATGCTAACTTTCCTACACACATGATAACCAAGAAGAGATAGGATGAGGGCAGTCAATGGTGTCTATTCCTAGCTTTAAAGCTAGATCTGGCCTTGACTATCCTGGCCATCAATTAACCCAGGGTAGACTAGTCCATCCAGCTGTAAAATGAGACTATAATATTGACCTTGATTTGTGCTCTATGGGGAGCGGACAAATACTCCCTAAGATAAGTATCACTGAGAGAGAATTCTTGCCTTGACACACCATTAAAAATAAGACAAAAGCTTTATATTCCTCTTAGGAAAAAGTGAAGAAGGGAGAAGGAAACTTCGTTTACCTTTGGATGGCCCTTCTCAAGGCACAGTATCCCAAACAATTCCAGCAAATATGATCTGCTGCTCTGGGACATGATCTCACACTGCAGAGTGCTCCCAAGTTCAGCCAGCCTGACATAAGCAATGGGAAAAAACCCAGAGTAGAAACAGAGGAGAGAGAGAGAGAAAAAAGGAGTGCCACGCATCTGCTCACTCTGCATGGTCCAAAAACACATTGTCTGACCTGACACAATACAGACCATATCTCAGAGAAACTCCAAAAATCTTATTGCCCAGCAGAGACACTTTTTTGCAGCAACAAAGGCAGATGTGCTCTCCGATGGCACAGGTGAGCTCTCAGCCTTCAGGCAGCCAGGTGTACTGTTACTGAGGAAAGCAGCTTGTTCTCACCTCAGGGTCTAATCCATTTGCCAAAGTATTGCAGAAGTGGCACTGTGTATTTGCAAAACACTTCCTCAGGTGGCCTATTTGACACCAAACAGCAGATGGTTTACTGTCCGTGCAGCAAGTAACGGTCATTTTAGGGTTCCAAGTGGGTCATGGCGTGGTCATATAGCAAACAGCTGCATTCATTGTGGAAATGTTTCAAAAGTTTTGTTTATGATACCTGGGTGCTTTTCTCTTGCCTTTAACTGGAGGTAAGTATCAGAACCAGATGTAACCAAGCCACAAACTCTGCCGAGTTTCAATCTATTGGTATCCCAAATCATTCATGTCCTGGAGGCCAAAACGGAAAGCTCCTCTACCTGCCAAAATCTATAGAGACAATAACATCCACCCCATCCCTGCAGGACTCCACAGTTTACTCACCTCAGCTCTTTAGTTGACAAGGTGTTTAGCACAGACAAGGCACACAGCTTATATGAGTTTAAACCAGCCCTGTTCATTGGGGTGCCTTGCACATCTAACTGCAAGTGTGTATGTCTCCATACAGTTTGCTGCAGGATATGTTCAGAAGCTCAGAAAGGTTTTTCAAAGCCCTTTATGGCATACAACACCCTCTGTTAGGCATGGTTTCAGAACCTGAATTCTATTCTTGCCTTCATGTTGAAGTAAAGTACAGTAAAGACCTTCCAGACCCTACAGTGTTATGATTTTCATAGCACTTTTCATCACAGTGTGACACACAGAAAGGTCAGAGCCAACCAAAAGCCAAGCAAGACGGATAGGAGGTTGTTGGGTCTCTAGATGCACTAAAAAACTGCAGTTCCTTCTGCTGAATGAACATGGCTCACAGAAATTCCCAAGATCAGGTTTTACCAAATCTGCAGCTCTAACAGCCACTCTCTGATAAATTTCAGATTGGTGTTCAATACTGATAGATCTACAAAGCAGCCTACAGCAGCACAACCAAATGCAGAGCAGGTCAGCATTATTGTCCTTCTTTGTGACCGAGATATATTTTTTTTCAGTAGAAAACAAACTGTAATTGCAGCACACGTAACAAATCCATTCCAGAGAGAGAGAGAACATAAGCATACAAAAGAGCAGTGCCGAGTTTGCAGCTGATTTAGCACAGCTCAGGAAAGAATAAAAAAAAAAGCTGGGCTGTGCAGCTTTGCCAAGTCACATTAGGTGAACTAGTGCCCTCATCTATCATGCTATGAGTCCTCACGCAGCCTCAACCATCTCTCCTCTCAAGCTAGGGAAGAGTAAACTCTCTCCTGTATAAAGCACTGCTAGCAATATTTATCCCACTGGCTATGCTAAATAACATGTGCAGAGGTCAATACAGCAAGACACATCCACATACATCTGGGAACAAATGAAAGGTAGGGTTGGCTGTTCATTTCTGATGTACTAGGCAGTATTAATTTTATTTCCAGGTTTCATAAACTTTTCAAAGCCGATTGTTTAAACTGATAGTCCTCAGGTTCTGGTTTTTTTCCCCCCTAATGTCAGTTTTTGCTCCATTTTAATAGATCCCCTTAATTTCCTTTACAGCTAAGTACTGGTCAGAAAAAAATGGCAGAAATTTCCCTTACACCAGCTGTTATAGGATCTAGTGTGGATTTTAAAACAGAATAGAGTTGCAGCCTGCATTCCTAAAAACTCCAGTGAACCATGTGAAAAGCATTGTTTGGGAGCAATTGGAGAGATAACTGCACTCCTGATTTAACTTATTATCCTCAGTGTACAAAACAAGTAGCTGCAGTAACATCATTATACTGAGAGCACCAAAAAGAACAAACAGAAAGCTTAATCTACATTTCTGATACAAGCTGTTTAGTAGCTTCAGCTGTACAACTGTGGGAACTGGTGGCACAGCTTCACATTATCTGGCCCCATGAAAACTCATTTTTTGCACAGTGTGCAAACATTAAATGCAAAATGAATGATCGTGCACTAAGTAGGGCATTTGATTAAGATTAGAGAGCTAAAAAAAAAAGCTACCAGCAGGCTCTGAGTTGTGCAGCCATGCATCTTCCTGTTTTATTCAATGTCACCGAATTCCTCTTGGTTCTTCACATGTGTAGATCAGTTAGAATCATAGAATCATAGAATGGTTTGGGTTGGAAGGGACCTTAAAGCTCATCCAGTTCCAACCCCCCTGCCATCAGCAGGGACACCTTCCACTAGACCAGGTTGCTCAAAGCCTCATCCAACCTGGCCTGGAACACTTCCAGGGAGGAGCAGCCACAGCTTCTCTGGGCAACCTGTTCCAGTGTCTCACCACCCTCACAGTGAAGAACTTCTTCCTAATATCTCATCTAAACCTCCTCTCTTTCAGTTTAAACCCATTTCCCCTTGTTTTGTCATTAACTGCCCTTATGAAAAGTCCCTCTTTATGGCTGATGCTACATTTCTGCTCAGATTGTTCTTTTTGAAAGGATTTTGGGGAGGATCAGACAAACATAAAGACAATCTTTCTTACTCTGTAAAACAGTTGAGTTCCCATCAGACCAAAACCTCAAAGAGGTTGGGTCAGTACAAACTACAATAAAGTACAGAAAGATGGTTCAGCAACCAAGAGAAAATGAAAACAAGTGACCAGTGGATGTAGCTACACAGACCAGCCACGTGCAAAGTACTACAGCAGAACAGGCAGCTTAAGAGTGACAACTTTATATTTTTCTCCTTATTTGAAGTTTCCCTTAAGTTAAAGTAACTTACCAAGACTGAAATTATAGAGGCTGCCTTCTGTCCAGTATGTTTCTCTGCACCCTGGCCTGAAAAGCTCAAGGGGGGAAGAAGAAACTATGTTCTTTACAAAGCTGTGGAGATGTTCTCCTTTCCCTGCTCAGCTGTCCAACAAGCACCTTGCTTTTTTGTTTTGTGAATGTGGCCTCACAACATCTCACCACTATGAAACATCCCAACCACAGGCTGATTTTGGGAAGGGTCAGGATAGAGCCACCAGCCTGATGTCCAGCAGGCTAAAATAAATCCAAAGAGTAATAGAGCGTAAATACTGAACAGAGTTAATCAGAAACCAGGATTTCCCCTTTAGGTAAGATTTCTGAAATAATTACAAAATTGGATATGCATTTCAAACTGGGGAAACCTAACAAGTCTGGAGAGGCCTGGGTCTCCCTTCAGGATGCAGCTGCAAGGCAGCCAGCTATATCAGTCTGCCCTTGAGATGAGGAGCAGGAGAGCAGGATCTGCCTGACCTATCAAGGAACTCAACTTGTGGCCAGAGCTCTGAGGGCTCCCTCAGCTCTCTGCTGCCACCAGTCCCTCAGGCAGACTGCCAAGGAGCTGGGCAGGAAGGAAACCAGGGAGGTTTCTAACAGAAAAAACATCCCACTGGAAAATTTCTGACCCACTCTAATAACGGGCCCACTTTCAGAGTCAGTTATGATGCTCGCAGATGGTAGGGAGACCCACTGCATTTTTTGTTTCGTTATTGGCTTCCTATATAAATTTCTTTCTATACCAGACACGCAGCATCAACTAAAGTAATCCTTAAGAAGAATGTTCATAAATCCCTTCAAACCTCTCCGCAGCAAACGACACTGCGTTTCCCAAGAACGATGACAATTGTTAATTGGCACTATTCAGAAGGTAACATTTTCTTTGGTAAGGTCTTTACTGCTTTAGACAACCACATGTACTTTTGGCAGCGTCTCTAGACAAGCCTTGTTGGCAGCCTACAGTATATGCCTCGCTCGGAAAGACTGCATGAAAAAACAGCTCACTTTCCAGTTCCAGTTCCAAGGCTTCGTAAACTTGGCAAGGCTGACAACATAATCTGGCCTGACTGCAGGAATAACTGATGCCTGGTAGGTAGCATCCCACCAAGTGGCCTGAGCTGCCCAGGCACATGCAGTTACTCCACAAAAGGAGACCACCTTAGCCTTACTCCCTTGACTACAAACCTACATACCGTTCGTTGTTCAGGGTCATTCTTGGAGGGTCAAGGTTGGGGTTCTCCATAGACTCCATTTGAGGACAGCGTAGGAAGTAGTAGAGGGTGTGGAGAGCATCAGGGGACCAGGAGATGGGTTGTTGCTGCCGGGTTTGTCGAATGGGGCTCAATCCTGGGCGGATGGTGTTCAAGCACTGCATGTGGTGCATTGCTCGTGATACCAAATCACCTGCACAGAGAGAAAGAATGCAAAAGCATCTCTTTACTATTCATCCACAGTCCTCTAAAGTACACTTTTTGAACTAAGTAAAATCTCTCGCAGCTCAGAGAAATGTCTTTTGTGTGCATATATTTTTCTTCCTCCACAAAGGCATAAGCTGCCCTCAAGCTGCTGCTTTGCAGGTTGTTGTATGGGAAATTTAACTTTCTTTCAAATGACAAGTTTTAGTTAGAAAATATAGAATGAAACTTCTCTCAGTCACCATACATTCAAGAACAGAAGCTTTACAGTGATTTTTCTATCCTGTTTTAATGCTGGTTTTCTCCTCTTTCCAACCTAGGAGCGCAGCTTTCATAAGGTAAAGCCAGTAACACCAGTACAAATACTTTCATCACCAGCATCACCATTTTATGTTATGAGATTGTTCCCATTTCTTTCAACTGGCTTATGATGTTCTACCTTCCCACCCAGGGACTTGTGACAAATTAATGACGTTATGTTCAATATAGAAATCTCTTCTTTTAGGGGTCTGCTTCTCTCATTCTCAATCCAGCTGCAGGTTTCTCCAGAAGAACAAGATCTGACTCTCTTATTAAAAAGCCAATCTTTATCATGCTGACTGTCACAAACTTGCCAGAAATTTGGCCCTAAGCCTTGTAAGAAGCTCAATGCAGGAGCCTTCTGGGCTGCTCAGTCCTCTTGGTCTTTGAACTTGAGCCAACCTGCCTCTCTGTCAGAGTACTGGTGGACTTAAGGAGGCCTGGAAGAAGGCAACCTGTATTACACAGTTTCAACTCAGAAAAGACTTTAAGGCTTCAGATTTTTAAAAAGTTCATAGAGGAATGACCCCAAGACAGCAGTTATGCAGTCACATGAAGCTGGTCCTTCTGTTATAAGCTCTCTTTGGGCACACCCTGTTTACTCTCCTTTTATTGTGGTGCATTACAAACTCTCAAGAGCTTTGCAATAAAAGCTTCAGACACGACATCTTTGAGTAGTGTGACTACCATACAGCGAGCTGCATGATTACTCCAGATTACTATACATAGCTAGGATCTATTTTTTCCTTGGGAGAATCCTCTGTTGCTTGATGTTCTACAGTCTCCTAAAACTCTCACAGGAAATGTTGCTCTATTGTGTCCTACAGTTACAATACTGGGAAAGGATGGAACCGAAATAGTCGCCCCATCACAAAGCTGGTTCCTGAGAAAGTGCCCTGAGCTTAGCTGTGCTGCATATGAATTAGTCACACCACCCTCTGAAATTCTTAGGAAGTTATTATTTGTTCATTTATATCTAAAAGCAATACACTGAATTTGCCAAACAACTTCCCATGGGGTTCTAGCGTTACACAGGTTAGGGAGAAACTCCCACAAAGCTACTGTATGTCGAAAAATGACATTAGTAGCG